AAAAGGTCCTAATCTGCTAGCTTAAAGTTCTAAGCCGGCGGGAGGGACCTATTTATAGGACCTTTAGAGCCTAAAACAGTAGCGGAAAGGAGGATAGCGCGGTATAAGGAGGTAGTGTTTTCGGTATATTCCCACTTATCGAAGCGGAGACAATCAAAGCCGGGCGTATAAAAGGCGAGGTCTATAACCGACTCCTAATAAGGATTAGACCTAAAAAAGGTCCCACCACTTAGGTTAACTTTTTTAGAGTCCACTAAACAGGTGGCTTCGAGGCTATCTAATTAGTCTACTAGTGTAACCGCGTAGATCGGTTTTTAGGGTCAGTCTGACTAATCAGGTCGGCCGCACATTTTCTGGCCAATCTGGTCAGGGGACCGAACCGGTTAATCGGGTTAAAGGGATGCACGTGACCGATCCGGATTATATAAGGACCGTTTTATCCGATCTTCCTGTATCTAGATTTTCATCTATCATCCATCACAATTCATATTATCTAGACGATCTAGTTTTCTGCTATTACGGCCCTGCTCTGTTATAATAAAGTGCTCGGAGGCGGATTCCTTCGGTATTCTGGAAGCTATTAATCTGATTAGGGTAACTAGGGTACTCGAGAGTAGTTCCGGCCTGCTTAAACGAACTACTATCACCGTTAACGCGTTAGACTATCGTGATACCTGTTATCTAGGGCCTATACGGATTAGATAGATTATTCTTTTAACCTTCTTCTAATCTTCTTTTAACATTCTCTAAGACTTTAGACCCGATATTATCACCTATTATTACGTCGCCGGGATATTCTTCTTCTTGATTTAAAACTGCTTTAACCACGATACGATATAGATTCGACCGATTAAAGACTCGGCCAGGGCGTTATATGCCTGAAAACCACCACGAAGATATACGATACGGATTCGACTCGGGCATAGAAGAGGCGCCTCGGTCAGGGCGTTACGTACCTAAAAACCGCGATACTGTTCTTATTATTTAGATTTTATGGTTTCGTCTTTTACCTCGGACTAGGACTCTATATCTTCGCCCTCTTTTTTACTCTCTCCCTTTCCCCCCCCCTAGGACTTTGGTCGCCTCTAGAGTCTCTTCGTTAATAGCTTTAGTAATAGCTTCGTTAAGGCTTTATAGTCGTATACTCGTAGGTGCGTAAGGTTAGGTTAATAGCCGCGTAGGCCTTTGTATAGCGTTTTCCACTTATTAATATGGCAAGGGGTTCTATTATATAAGTAAATAGCCGTCTTGAAGATCTTAGGCTAAATGGATATAGGCAGATTAGCTCTAATCCTTATAGCCCTTGCTCTCCTTTTAATAATACCTTTAATCCGTTCTATAACGCCGTTTTAAACCTATAAATATAGTGCTAAGCGCTAGCCTTATACCCACTCAGTAGCTAGGAAGCTAATAACTTCTAGGTACTAAAATATTTCGGAATCGGCCCGCAGGATATATAGCCTAATACCGAATTAGGTCTTAAGCAGGGCAAAAACGTCTTTTAACGCATAAAGGATAAAGCCTTACTCTCTCTTCTATAGGTAGTAACTCTGTGTATAGCCTATAAACACGTCTATAACGAATATAATAGACTTATATAGGACGCCAGCTAACGACTCCGAGTCCTTAAGATTGTGTGAATTAACGGCTAGGACCTTACGGGGCTTTAACGGGTAAACGGATAGTATCCGCCTAATTTACGTAGGCACTTACGTTTATCCATACACGTTATACTCTACAGTACGCGGCCCCTTAATTCTTAACCCCTAGGTAGCCTTAACGATCCTTATAAGGGTATCTATATCGTAATGCCCAGGCGTTCGTGCTACCTTTACGCTATAGTCTGCTACGATTACCGCGGTTATTATAATCTTCTATACGGGTTATCGCGTGGGTGCCGAGTCGAAACCGTAAACGCTGCAGCGGTAGCTATAGCTATGGCTTCTGCACGCTTAATTATATACTGGCCGTGGATATCTAGTAGCTTATAGATAGGCCGGTTATTAGTAGTAGTGACGATAGTATTGCTAATAGTATCCTAGCAATAGCCTTATAGGCGTAGCTAGTATTCCGAGACGATATTAGTGAAGAACTCCTTATAGTATATAATATCCCGGAGGCCTAATAACCTCTTCCTGCCTAATGGGGTTATATATGTAGCTTAACGTCTCTGTACCCGAGTATAGGAGCCTCGTAGGTGCTAACATAGAGGGATAAAGTATCCTTGGATAGTCTACGGCCATAAAACGGCCTTAATTACTAAAGATATAGATTAACGATTCTAAGTCTAGGATCGCGTAGGATAGTAGTGCTTTAGCTTAGTTAATAGAGAGAGATACTCCCTAATATTATTACGGCTACTGCTAGCTAGAAAAGTCGCCGATTTTATTACGTAGTAAGAATAGTATTATAAAGATAATTCTGCTAGACTTCCTCTATCTTACTAGCGGTAGTAGACCCTAAGGCCTCTCGCCTCTTCTATATCGCGGTATCTACACGGCTTTTATAATATAGGTTACGTATCGTCTTGTCTATAACCTTCGTAATATCTTCACAACTATGATAGCTATAAGGGCGTATATCCGGCCTCACGTACTAATAGGCGGGAGTGGTATATATATTCTTAGAGGTATTATAAGGCCTTTTTATTGCGGGAGGGATCGACTTTACAGACGTATCGCTATAAGGGCGCTTCTTATTATCTTGGTTACTAGTAGTAGTAGTAGTATCCTCAGTATTGGGGAGGTTTCCGAGGATGTAATAGGTACCTCTCCCGACTCTAGGCTTTACGGCGGCAGATTAGAGGCTCTTTATATTATTAAGAACCGCCCTTAGAGCCTTTACAAAGTCGTTAATTATTAGTTCGTTTTCTATAATCTTATCGTAGTTATTTACGAAGTAGTTATTACTCTATTCCTAGGCGATAGGTCTAATAGCTTTTAACGTGTCTTCGGCCTAATAGTCGACGCTTAATAATTCTAAAACGCCTATATATTTATAGTATACTATCGCTGTTTTCTAACTTATAATCTACACGTCTATATCCTTAGGTGTAGCTTTTATAGGCGTGGTATATTATCGATATAGGATTAGGGCTTACTTATAAAGGTCTATTAGAGTTAGTCCTGCTTATATGTAGAGGAGGGCTACCTAGGCCCGCGGGTTATTTATGTTATTATCCTATACATACGCGAGGAGGTTATATAGTATATTATAAACGGTTCTTTTAAAATATAAGCGTACCTTATTAAACTCCTTCTACTACGCTTTATAATCGGCCTTTTCCTCGCGGTATACGCGGCGATCTTATAGATAGCGTGTGCGTCCTTTTTCGGAGAGGTTATTAATGGACGTGGGTGTCTTTATTAGTGGTTTCTTAGTTACGGCTATAGCCTTCTTATATAGGGTTGTGTTCTTCTTACCGGCGGCCGTAGTAGTAATAGTAGTAGCCGTAGCCGTAGCCGTAGCGATAAGGTCTTAGCCTAAGGTATCGGTAGCCTTATCGCCCTTTAGCGTGATAGTAGAAGACGGAGTCGCCGTGATAGTAGAAGATAAAGTAGCTATTACCTTCTCCGCGTTAGGGTTAACGATAAGGGCTTCGTATTTACGAATATTAGGTAGTAAAGGCTTAAGGAGGAGATAGGTGTCAGCGTCCTTATCACTTAGTTTTAAACTAAGATAGTTATCCAAGTAGGAGGCAGATTTACCGCGTATAGCGCGCTCCTACGCTGCCTAATCCCTCTGATTAATAAAGGTAGTAACGGCTAGCTCCTATTCGTCGTTCGATATATTAGAAGATATCTTCGCTTATATATCGCTTGATTAATTAATTAATAGGTAGGTTAGTATGTTAATTAATCCCTTAATTACTCTAATTATATTAATAGTAGTTATTTAAAGAGTGCTTATAAAAACGTGATTACTTTTTATAGTAGAATAGGGTTACCTTATTAATATCTATCGTTTAGGCGTTATAAACCGGGCTTATAACTATTACACGTTAAATAGTACTTATAATAGTAAACCTAATAAAGTGGAAATCTTATATATATATACATTATATTAAGTTATATCTATATAAGTCTCTTATAGCCTTAATTTAGGTAGTAAAGACTCTATTATAGGTACTATGTTTTTGGATCCTATCCGGTCTTTCCCGGTATCTATCCACATTATATCCTGATACCCGAGGTCCCCGAGGTCCGAAGCTCTTAGTCAGGCATAGATCCCCTAGGGACCATGTCGTGGTCCGTATGCCTATACGACAACTACCTTAAGGTAAGGTAGTCTAGTTACGTAAAGCATAATACAGATACTAGAACCATATATAACTTCCCGAATAGACTAATGCATATAGTAAGTGCTTAAAATTATAATTTCTCCTTATATTTAAAGAGACTTGAGATTTATATTAGATAATCATAATCAGTTTTAAATACTTAAATCTATATATACTATATTAGTATTATATCTTATACTCTATTAAGAAACCCTAATACTTAGAGTGATGTACATTTTAGTATCATTAGTATACTAATTACGCATTAGCACTATACATAGTAGTACTAATTCACCAGTCATAAGGAACGAATTCCGAACTTGTGCCTGTGGTACAACAGGTAATTTGCATTTGGACTTCGCACGCGCCGCATACGACGTGTATGAGGTGTGACACCAATCCGTATTTCCTTGCGAAACATCCCCCTCATGCAGCTAGGTTCGATTGTTTTCAAGCTTCCCTCCCCATCTCCCTCCTCGCCTTTAGTTCCTCCACTCCCGAGCCTTTTTGGATACTACCTAGCGTCCCTGGACGTTCACATCACTTCTCTAGAGGCAAGGCAGACAGGGGACCTGGTTCAACCCCAATTTCTTATCTAATTACTCCTTTCTCACGGAACAGTGCGGGGTGGCCACGAGTCCACGACCACCTTCGAACAACCTCCCCCATGGCTGACCCAAGAGGGCATCACGTTTATGCAACGGTTGGTCTAGCTAGAGCCATGTCGAAGCTCCGCACCTTCTTCGTGCCGCAATTCGGTGCTCTAGATGTTGTTCAACCGAAGTATTCTTCATGAGGAGCTAACATGCCCTTGGACGTTTGGCATAGTTGCTCCTTAACGATGCATACCTTCCAGGTGCGTTTTCACATATGCGCCACCACTATCCTATGCTGCTTTGTAGCGTCTTTTATCTAAATACCTTTTACGTCGCAGGAGCGTTGGTACTGGCCCATTCGTTGCGTGATGCCAGTACAGCCAAACAGCTCGCCGTCCTAGTAACACCCGATTCAATAACCGCCGAGACAGTTAGTCAGCTCAAGGTAAAACGATCAACCCGTTACAGCCCCCGTGTTTCTACGGAGTACGTCCAGCTTCCGCAGCCGGTATACTGAAGAAGCGCAAACTATCTAGACAGTCTACCATCATGTCATCCCAGTGCCGCGAATCCGAAACGACCATTTGACTAACCTCCGGCTCATCAATCGCCCCGAGCTGCATTCCGCGTTCACCAAGATTCATTTATGGAAGCTGACTCAGTTTTCCAGGATTGTGTACTTGGATGCTGATGTTCTCGCCTATAGAGCCCCCGACGAGCTGTTCGACATACCTGCCCCCTTCTCCGCTGCTCCCGACGTTGGCTGGCCTGACGTCTTCAACACGGGTGTCATGGTTCTCTCCCCTAGCCTGGACGATTACCACGTTCTCATGGCCATGGCGGAAAGGGGACTATCCTTCGACGGGGCCGACCAAGGCCTCCTCAACATACACTTCAAGAACAGCTATAACAGAATAAGCTTCACCTACAATGTAACACCAGTGGCGCACTACCAGTACATTCCTGCCTTCCGCCACTTCCAATCCAGCATCAACCTGGTCCATTTCATTGGCGCTATGAAGCCGTGGTTTCAAGGGCGACCTGCTAACCAAGGCGACTCGCCCTTCAATGAAATGGTTGTCCGGTGGTGGGCGGTCTATGACAGGCACTATGGAGGTCCGGTGCGTACTGCGCGATTATAACTTTACTTCTTCTGCCTTCTTGTATGCTAACTCCCTCCCCAGCAAACAGTGTTGCATTCCACTGGGCCACCTAAACTTCAAGAGCCGGACGGCCCGGTATCAGTGATTCCTCAAGCTGCCCGGCACTTTACCATGGTAAATCGGGTCCCACCAACTAGTAAGCATGAACAGGATCATTACCGCCATGGTCCTCAGGGCAGCAATGGTCACAACACTGGGGACGTGTCGAGGCAATCTGCATGGGTCGCAGGTGAAAAGCACCTCGAAACATCTGCGGATGCATTTCATCACCTGCCGCAGCCTCCCCGCAGTGAGCTGCACGGACAAGAGGTTGTCCATCGTTTTGATCCTGAAATCCAAGCTTCAACTCGTCCCTCAGAATCGCTTCCTGCGCCTGATGTCGGAGCACCGACCGGGGTAGGCGAGAAGGCCTCACCAGTAGAACGCACAGTGCATGGGGCGGGTCATCTCCCTGTGGAGACGTGGGATGCTCAGAGGTAAGAAAAGAAGTATTCGGAGAGATTGCGCCGCCGACTGTGTTGTCCCTGGAGAAAGGTGACGCTAACTTTGACCTATTCCAGACAACCACCACCACAGGATGCTAAGCCGGAGGCAATAAACTTCCCCAGCCAAGTTTATGAGATGTCGCGAGATCTTCGCCCCTTCATTCCCCCGGAGCGTTATCCGAGCCCACCCAGAAATATGTGGTACGAGGTGCCAAAAGAAAGGTCAGTGTCGTCGGAGGCCCCGGCTATGTTCCCGTGGGAAGGTCGCCAGCCACGACCGTCTCGGGTATACTGCGCTGGAGAGTCATCGAGGCCCTCCGTCCCAGCTACACCCAGTCTACCTGCTAGTGCCCAGAGGCAGGAGAGACAGGAGAGGCAGGAGATGTCACCGCCATCTCATTCGTATGCCGATGATCATTCTGCAAAGCCTACCAGGGCAGAACACAAGGCCGAGCTTGTATCCGTAAAGCAGCCCGTTGAACCGGCCGTTGTCCGTCACTCGATACCCTGGGACAGTTTCTTGCGAACAAACACGTGGGATGAGATGCCCGCAATTACACGTTACGTCCAAGGGTTACAGAAGCACCGCAGCGCAAATAATCCGGGGTTGGCAGACGTCTCTCCCACGGAAAGGGCAGCCCGGCAGCAGGATGTCCCTTTCGCAAACGCTGCAGTCGATCCTCAAAAATTTCCGGGCTCTGCCGTGGTCAACTCTCGGTCGAGACTCTACGACCGCAGGGTGTTCGGTGCCGACAAAGAAAGCAATTTGCAGAGCTTGGCGGTGACAGAGGCCGGGCAGCCCCGGTCGGGGTGGGTATGTGTGCATGGAAATCTGTGGGCTCCTACAGACTGTCTTTGCGACCTGAACACTGCGCTTCGAGTTCATAAAGGCTCGGTAGTACAGCTTCAAAATCTGGGTACACGACAGTCCGAAGTGCCATCGGATAGCTTAAATCAGGGTGGAAAAATGGTGAGGTAGACCCCGGGGACAAGCGTCGTCTGAGGTGTCGGTGAACGACTCCCTGAGCTTTCCAGGGCAGGATTGCTCCGATAACACATGCTGCACGGCACCCTGTCCTCTCGGGTCTACCATCACTGTAAGGCAGTGTGTAGAAAATGAACTTTGTCCATGCCATGGCGATCGGAGTCATTGCCAGTCGGCGAGTGCTAACGGCATGTTGACTTGGCATGTCGTTGACTGGTGAGCATGCGTCTTTGTATATCAGTTTCATAAGGAACACAATGGGGAGACCTCACGTTTCAATATCGATGTAAACGTACAACGCACAACTGTATCGGCCCTGCACAGCCGTGGTCTGACAACTGGTCCTGTGGGAAATCGTCTGTATGAAAACGGTGGACTCTTCGGGCGTAGGTACATCAAATGAACGGTGTTTGTATGGGGAAACCGTTCTGCTTAAGTACCCTAGCCCGTCTCGCCCAGACTAGTTATCTACCCTAGCTCTTTAATTAAGGGAATGGCTAAATAGCAGGCATATTTGGATATCCAGCAGGCAAAATATATAAATGCAGAGGTATATTCTTTTATATATAAACGACCTATATTTACCGGGGTCCCGGCTATAGAGGTATAAGAAGCGATATTCTATAAAGTCCCCTTAAGGACCTTTTCTATCTCCTTACGTAGACGTAAGTCGTTATCTGATTAACACTTAAATTAGGCGGAAATCTCGCCTTCACGATGTCTGGTCGAGTTATCTTAAGGATCTTCTAGTTCTTCTTAACACTCTTCCTCTTCCTTAATAACTATCGCGTTAAAAACACAGGCGCTACGACTTAGAGCCTTAGCTAAGGTACGTATAAAATATCCCTTCTTATACCTCTGCAGCCGGGACCCCAGTAAATATAGGTGGTTTATATATAAAAGAATATGTCTCTGCATTTGTATATTTTGTCTGCTGGATATTCAAATATGCCTGCTATTTAGTCATTCCCTTAATTAATATAATTTCTTACGTAATAATGCTAGGTTAATCTTGTGTTTTTATAGTCGAGACCTCACAAGTGACAATTTAGTAGAGCCATAACGGCGCCGGTAAGATGTCTATATACCGCAACCTATTTTGGAAATATATATTATATAGAAATTCGTAGTGTCGCACGTTAAAATAGCACTTATATAGTAATCCTGATAGATAAGGAATCTCGTGTGTGTCTATTATAATAAGTTATATCTATGTGAGTCTCTTATGCCCTTAATTTAGGTAGTAAAGAATTTATTATAGGTACTATATTAGTTAGATCCTATCCGGTCTTTTCCGATATCTACCCTTATTATATCCTAATCTCCGATAATAAGCCCTGTCTAGGCAAATCCCTAGCCAGCTAGTACTATTGGACCTAGGGATTCTAGGGTTTAGAAGGGTAACCTTTACTATAGTATATAAGGTAAGAATACAGATATCCTCTACTCAACTAAGGGGGAATAATAAGCCCTGTCCAGCCAAATGCCTGGCCAGCCAGTACTATTAGACCTAGGGCTTCTAGGGTTTAAAAGGGCGACCTTTACTATAGTAAATAGGGTAGAATAAAGATATCTTCCCTAAGCTAAGGGGTCACGCCCCTAGGACTTAAGTATCCTACGGGTAAACCCCGTAGAATCCTTGGCTCCTATATATAGAAACCCGGGTATAAAATAGGGAAGCTATAGTATACGCTAAAGGTACCTATAGTATACCCCGTGTGTGCTATAGCTTATACTATAGTACGCCCGTGGTATACCCGTGGTATACCCTAGTATTACCGGCAGAATCTAGGGCGTATTAAATACCCCGAGTAATAAAGCCCTACGTCCCGCGGGCTTCCCCCGGTAACTACGATAGCCTTACTTAAGGCGTGTCCCGGTTATGCTAATAAACCGTGGTGTAGTTAGGAGATAATAAAAAGGAAAGAAAGAAGTAGTTACGGGCAGCGCCCTAATAGCGGCCGCCGATATTACTACCGTAGAAAGCATTATAAACTACTAGTTTTAATTAGTGGACGCGGCGGGAAAGGAATAGGATACGCCGGGAATATCCCGGCTAGGAATTAAAAGACTAAAGAAATAAATATACAAAACCTTCGCCTAAGATTTACCACGTGCCACGGTAAACCCTATATTTCGCCGGTGCCTATATTACCTATCTATATAGTTACTCTAGGAGAGTAACGTGCTTATTATTATTTTTCTCGGGGTTATTTAGTGTCTTATCGGGAACGCTATATTTACCCGTATTAATCTCTAAGATAATAGCTATTTCCTTAATAGTTATACTATCCGCTATCTCGATAACGCTAGCTAGATTAAGGTCGCTAAACGCTAGGGGACTAGTATCAGTATATCCCTTATACTAGCGTTTAAGGATTACGACTACTAGCACTATACGGATAGTAAAGGGGGGCGGTTTAATACGATACGCGGCGCTAATATATTCTTATAGTAGACTATAAGGTCGCTATTAGCGGTAAAGGGAGCGATATATATAACCTTACTTAGGCAGAAGTAGCAGATAACTATTATAAGCTTTAGCGTATTTTATATAACGCTAGGGGCGATTATATCCTTAAGTATATAGTAGAATTACCGGGCCGTAGGGAAAGGCAGGATAATACTATACTTACGCTAGCGGACTATACCTATATCCTAATTATTCTCGATAATAGTCTTAAAGGTTAGCTACGCGGCCTTATTATATAGCTTAGCTCCGTACGCCTTAATAATATCTATAAGAACCCTCTCCTTAGAGCTTTTTACCGTAATAAATTTAGCCGGGGCTAGGCTAACCTTAGCGGAGGCCGGCGCGGGTCTTTTAGTTAGCTTAATCGGGGTAATAAAACTCAGGGTGCTACCCGAGTATAGTTAGCTAATAAACTCGGTAACGGGGGGAATCTACACGTCTTAGTCCTTAGCTTAGTCGGGGTTATCGTGTAAGCCTTTAAGGTATTTACGTGCTAGTTTATTACACGTCTTAACCTCTTTAGCGTACTCTTCGGACTTCTTCCTAAATTCGGCCTCGGAGATAGTCTTACTACGTATACTTATAAGGTCGTCTATAGCCTATAAGAGCAAGGTCTATTCCCGCTAATACTATAGTACGAGCTTAGCAGGTTGCCCTATGGACAACGCGGCTAAGCTCGCCCCACCCCCCTTTAGGGGAGGGGGGGAACGGCTAGTTATATAACCTACTCCACACCACTAAATAATCGTAGATATCTAAAAATAACTGTAAAACGCCTGCTTTTGTTTTCTATAGCAGTTTATTTATTCCTTCGAAGCTATAATACCGTTTTTTTAATATTACCTTAATATCGCAAAAAGCCGTTTTTGATTACGTTAGTCACGCTTTATCCTTATAATCAACTATTAAAACCCTCCTTATAGTCGCTAGTATTAGCTTCTTTTATTCCACTATATCCCTCTCCTACCTCCCGATCGTCAATAGTATCGTTGTTAAGTAAGTTATAGGTATAAATAACTGCTATACCCCCCGCGAACGCGTTAATCCTAACCGTAGCCTTATAGTATACCTCGCGCCTTATTAGATTCCGGCCTCCCCGAATACATTATATTTCTCTTTAACGGACGTAATACTAATAGCCCCCCCCCTCTAATGATAAAGAACCTGCTAGCTTTAATAGTTTATCTATAACTCCCTTTTCCCCCTAATACCAGGCGTTGGCTTACCCGGTAAAGACTACTATAAAAACCGCGACCCCCTACTCCCCGTTACTCCTACGCCCGCCTCCCGCCTCCCGCCTCCCGCCTCCTGCCTCCCCTAATAACCCGCCCCCCCACCTATCGACTTAGTCCTCTACGGCCCGTGTTTAGAAGATAACGATACCCATGAATACCGGTTATATAATCCCTAAAAAGGATATCCTCGACCTTATCTATAATAACGGCTATAGAGATACCCGTAGCCTAAGGTCGATACGTAATATAAAGGTAAGTTATTAACTATTCCTCCCACTAATTTACGCGTTCTGTATTATATACTAATATTAAATAACTATATAGGCCTATCAAGATTTAGCGTAGCGCGAATAAAAGGACTTTAATTTATCGCGCGCGGCTAACCGCCAGGCTATAATAATAATAATCATCGGTCTAATTAATACCACTGCCTATAAGCAGTATAATAATAAAGACAGTCCTTTTATTAACTACGTGGCCGTTAATAATATCGCTAGCGGCAGTTATAATAACTACTACTATAACTCGGAGGGCCGTAAGTATTCCCTCCGCGAAAGATTAACGCCCGCGTCCGTATTTACTAGTAAGGGTAAAAAGTATACCGCCTAAGCCGACCGTAAGTTAATAACCTATATACCTATACTCCTATTAGATTTATATTCTATATACTAATCGATTAATTTACGGTACTATAATAACCGCCGCTATTCCTACCCCCTTAAAACAGGCTAATGGTAAATAGGCCGCCCCCCCTCCCTTTACTACCACCGGGCCATTAAGAATAAATACCACGACCGCTACGCCCGTGCCCCCTTTCCGCTACTCCCCCCCCTCCAATTACCCCCCCTCCCGTTACCCTCCCTCCTATCGCTTTAGCTACTCCGGTTACTCTAGCTCCCCCGGCCGCGCCCGTATACACTATACCCGAAAGCGTTATACTCCCCTTACCGGGCGGTATAATAACGATATAAAAGAAGCAGGCTATATAGATACTTAAGAATATAATAGCGGCTATCGAAAATAGTATCCCGGTGGAAGAACGTTAAAGGCTTACGGGTTTTTTTTTAATTTGTATTTAGTTATACGATAGGAATACGGTTCGGGCTCTTTCCTTTTTTTGCTATTCTTACTTTTAAGTATTTATAGTATAGGGATACGGGTTGTTTTTTTATT